TTTCACAGTGTTCTGGTGATTAAGCGAAGTAAAGCACAATGTTCTTCGCTGGGCTCCCACACCCAGTGCTAGTTTGCCCCAGCATCTTGTGGTAATGTGCAGTGGTCGAGTTACTTCTCTTCTCTCCCACTAACTTTCTTTAGGGACAGATCCAACTCTTAGTGTGTGTGTGTTTGTTTTTACCACAGTATCTGACATAGTGCTGTACACATGGTAGGTAATTTGGATAAGTTGAATAAATGAATGAATGTTCAAACAAACCCCCCAGAAACTATGTTAGGGAGCACTGCTATAATCATCCTCTAGCTTCTTGGAAGAATATAGTATTTACATTGTGAACTCAGTTATAAAGTATTACACGTGGAAGGCTTTTTAGTTAAGAAGGATCATAAAAAGTGTTAGGAACTAGGAGAGACGACTTTTTTCCATCCTTCTGAAAAAGGGTAGGTCATTCTGTGGGCTTCTGGTTTATTCTCTGGAGACTGCCAAATTTGGAGCTCAGCTCTGCTTAGTTGTTTATAGGAACAGTCCTATCTCCTTTCTTCACAGCCCCTTCCATTACATTTTCTATTTCCCATCTGAATAGGCCAATAATATAATAGCCTTGGTGCAATTCCAAGTGTCAGTCCCTTGTTCTGTTTATCTTTCGGTGTTCTCATCTCTCTGTCTAGAATGGCATTTAGTACAGAGTAGATGATTATCCTAGGTTTGTTGCATGGATGGATGAAAAATTGAACGTGGGAGTTCTCTTCTCTGTTCCTTTTCTTCTCGGATTTTTTTTTTTTTCCTTGAGATGGAGTCTCACTCTGTTGCCAGGCTGGAGTGCAATGACCCGATCTTGGCTCACTGCAACCTCCGCCTCCTGGGTTTAAGAGATTCTTCTGCCTCAGCCTCCCGAGTAGCTGGGATTACAGGCGCGTGCCACTATGCCCATCTAATTTTTGTATTTTTAGTAGAGATAGGGTTTTGCCATGTTGACCAGGCTGGTCTCGAACTCTTGACCTCATGATCTGCCTGCCTCGGCCTCCCAAAGTGCTGGGATTACAGGAGTGAGCCATGGTGCCCGGCCTTCTTCTCCGACTTCTATCAGTTTTTGTCCTGCTTTATTTATTTATGGGTGTTTTTAAAATATCGGACATCAGGCACAGAGTTAGATTGTGGATTAGTCATAACCCTCAGTTTATGAGATATTTATATACACAAATATATATTCCATACATCTGCCCACTACCAGATGTATGGGAAGAGACCCAGCTCAGGAATATATTATCACTATACACACACACACACACACACACATATGCACATATATATGTATACATACACACACACACACATATATGCACATATATATACACACACACACACATATACACACACACACACCCCCCATATATTTGAGACAGGGTCTCACTCCATCATCCAGGCTGTAGTGCAGTGATGCAGTCATGGCTCACTGCAGCTTCCACTTCCCAGGCTCAGGTAATCCTTCCACCTCAGCTTCCCAAGTAGCTGGGACTACAGGCGCGTGCCACCGTGACCAGCTAATTTTTGTATTTTTTGTAGAGACAAGGTTTCACCATGTGCCCAGGCTGGTCTTGAACTCCTGAGCTCAAGCAATCCTCCCATCTTGGCCTCCCAAACTGCTAGGATTACAGGCGTGAGCCACTGTGCCTGGCCTACATATGTATTTTAAATAGTAATAAGCATTCATGAACTTGCTGCCAAAACAAAACATGGAGCCTGGATAATAATTTATGTCTAAGCGTATGGTCCTCCCACCCCCTTTCCCTCTGTCTCTTACATTCTGGGGAAATAATAATCCCAAATCCTTTATGAATTCATACTTTGCTTTTTTAATATAGTTTTTAGTACATTGATATGTATTTCTAAAAAGTAGGTGCTTTTTATTTTGCTTGCTCATAACTTTATAAAAATTATATCATGCTTTTTTTACTTAATATTATATTGCTAAGATTCATCAATATTGTTTCATCCATATTGTTTCATTGTATATATTCATTTACTCATTATTGCTTATATAGTTATTAATTGTGTGAATATACCACTGTTTGTTCATCCACCCTCCTGTGGCTGAGCAATTAAGTTATTCCCAGGAATTTGCTCTTATGAACAGTGTTGCTGTGAATAGTGTTGAATATAATACCATCACATTTGTGCAGGGGCTTCCTTTTGGTTTATGAGTTTGAGAGTAGAATGCCGTATCATAGGAAATGTGAATTTCAACTTTAGGTGGTAATACTAAAACAGTTTCCGAAGTTTTTGTACCAATTTATACTCCTACTTTGGCTTTTCTAAATCTGGTTATCATCAAACTTTAAACTTGGGTCTACTGAATAAGTATAAAATAATATTGCATTGTGGTCTGCCTTGGTCACTAATGATGGTGATGGTGAACATTTCTTGAAATGTTTATTATGTTTATAAATGTTTATTGTGTTTATATATGTTTCCACTTCTCTGAAATTTCTGCTCTTGCCCATTTTCCCATTGAACTATTTATGTTTTTCTTATTGATTTGTAGGATTGTTAGGAATTTGGTATGTGTTTCTGATTAGAGTTCTTTGTTGACTTTAAGTTCTTTGATCAGTTATTGATTCTTGTGTAACAAACTACCCCCAAAACTTAGTGGCTTAAAACAACAACAGTTTTGGCCGGTTGCAGTGACTCACGTCTATAATCCCAGCACTTTGGGAGGCCGAGGTGGGTGGATCACCTGAGGTCAGGAGTTTGAGACCAGCCTGACCAACATGGAGAAACCCCGTCTCTACTAAAAATACAAAATTAGCTGGGCATGGTGGCACATACCTGTAATCCCAGCTACTCGGGAGGCCGAGGCAGGAGAATCACTTAAACCTGAGAGGCAGAGGTGGCAGTGAGCCAAGATCACACCATTGCACTCCAGCCTGGGCAACAAGAGCGAAACTCCGTCTCAAACAACAACAACAACAACAACAACAACAACAACAACAACAACAATTTTTTCTCTCACAATTCTGTGGGTTGACTGGGTTCAGCTGGGTGGTTCTGCTCCATGGGTTGTCAGTTGGGGTACCTCACTTAGTTGCATTCAGCTGGTGGCTAGGATGGACTGGATGACCTAAGAAAGTCTCACTAACATGTAAGGTATCTTGTTGCTCTCCCATTTGTCCTCTCCAGTTGGATATCTTGGACTTTCTCACAGAATGGTGATTTCTGGGTGGTTGGACTTCTTGCCTGGCGGCTGGCTTCTGAGAGGAAGGATGCAGAATCTTCTAGCCCTTTTAAGGCCTAAGCTTGAATGTCCCAGAATGACACATATAACAAAGCAAACAATCAGGTCAGTCTGGATTCAAGATGAGAGACTAGCCTCCAGAGCAAAGAGCATCCACCTTTTGATGGGTGAAATGGCAGGCATGGAGAGAGAGAGAAGGAATTGAAGGCAATCATAATTGGAGACTGTTTATCACTTTCGCATTGTAAATATCTTCTAGTTTTAACTTTTCACTTTTTAAAGGTGTCTTTGATGAAGCAAACTTCTTTATATATATTTTATTTATTTATTTAGTTTTTTGGTAGAGATGAGGTTTCGCTATGTTGTTCAGGCTGGTCACCAACTCCCTGGGCTCAAGGAAACAAAATTCTTTTTTTTGAGACAGGGTTTTGCTCTGTCACCCAGGATGGAGGGCAGTGGTGCAATTTCAGCTCACCGCAAACTTCGCCTCCCAGGCTCAAGCAATTCTCGTGTCTCAGTTACAGGCGTGTGCCACCATGCCCAGCAAAAGGAAGCAAAATTCTCAATTTTAACATAGTCAGATTTATCCATCTCTTCTTTTGTAATCAATGCTTTTTGTATCTTGGGTTAAGAAACCTTTCCTTGCTCTTAGTTCTAAAAGGTAGTCACCTTTTTTTCTACTATGAGATTTTGAAGTTTTATTTTTCACACATACGTCCTTATTTCATCTGAAGTTGAATTTCATTTGTGACTTGAGTAGAACTCTGATTTTATTATTTCCCCCTGGATCTAGAATATTCCTTCTTTTCCCAGTGGTCTGACATACCACCTATGTTATATAGTAAAGCTTCTTAAATGCATGGGCTGTCTGTTTTGTCCCATAGGTCTGTTTGTCTCATTTTGCCTTTCCTTAATTACAATAGCTTCATAATAAGCTCCGATTCCTTGAGGGGCAAGTTTCCTCCTCCCGGTCTTCTTCTTCAGCAATATCTTGGTCCTTTAAAGTTTCATATAAATTTTAGAATTACCTTACTGTAATTCAAACCTTATTCAGGTTTTCACTGGTATAATATTGTCTCTATAGCTTAATTTGGGGAGAATTGATAAGTTTTTGATATTATCTTCTAGCTAACTCTCCATTTATGTAGATTTTCAAAATTCTGTTAATACTGTTTAAAATTTTTATTTGTCAAATTTCTTTTAAGATAACTTGATGTTCTCTGAGACTATTATAAATGGCGTTTTCTCTTTAATTAAATTTTCTAGTTGTTTGCTGCTATTCTACAGAGATGCAATGACTTTTTGCAACCTCAGCCTCCTGGGCTCAATTGATCCTCCCACCTCAGCCTCCCAAGTAGCTGGGACTACAGGCACGCACCACCACACCCAGCTAATACTTTTGTATTTTTAGTAGAGACACGGTTTCTCCATGTTGCTGAGGCTGCTCTTGAACTCCTGGGCTCAAGCAATCCACCCACCTTGGCCTCCCAAAGTGTAGGGATTACAGGCATGAGCCACTGTGCCCAGACTCATGTGGAGTTTTAATGTAAATAAATTTATCATCTTTAAATAAATAATAACAGTTTTATTTCCGTTATTCCAAATGTTATACATCTGTTTTTTTTTTTTTCTCCTGCCTTTAAAAAATCCTTCTTGTTCTTGTCTCTTGACCATTTTTTACTTTCAATTCTTGTGGAAAACATCAGGTTGAGTCAGAAATAGCAGAGACTTATAAATACATAAGCCCTCTTATTTTGCATATACCCATGAAGTAGTAAAGTTGGTATAAGTGTCTGTTGGAAGATATGGCTACAGAAAAAACAAAGTGGCCTGTCCCAGTGATACTCCCGGGAAGGAAAGATCCTCCTCAATGATCTTCCATCTGAGAAGTCCCATGGATTCTTTTCTATTCTGCTCCATAAGTTTGATTGTCTTGTCTTTTCTTTTCTCTTTTCTTTTCTTTTCCTTTCGTTTCCTTTTTTCTTTTCTTTTCTTTCTTTCTTTCTTTTTTTCTGGTGAATTAGCCAGACAGACTCAGTTTAGATGATCCGAATTTTGTTAGAAACATCCAAAGCATTGTAATCAGGAGCCAGTTGAACATATGCCTTCTTCTCTCCATCAGACCTAATCAGGATGTTGACTTTGGCCACATCAATGTCATAGAGCTTCTTCACAGCCTGTTTGATTTGGTGTTTGTTGGCTTTAACATCCACAGTGAACACAAGTGTGTTGCTGTCTTCTATCTTCTTCATGGTGGACTCAGTTGTCAGCAGAAACCTGATGATAGCATAGTGGTCAAGCTTGTTCTCCTTGGGGCACTCTGCCGAGGATATTTGGGCTGCCTCTGGAGTCCCCGCACCATGGGCTGCCGGAAGGTGGGTGATGTGAGGATCTTCTTTTTTTGTGTGGCTGTGGACACCTTTCAACACTGCCTTCTTGGCCTTCAAAGCCTTCGTTTTGGCTTCAGCTTTAGGATGAACAGGAGCTTCCTTCTTCGCCTTCTGTGCCATCTTGTGAAAAGGCCGCAAGTTTGATTTTCAAAAGTATTGTCAGGTATTGCACTTTTAAAAAGCTCCACGAGGTTGTCTTCTCTCAAAACCCTGTTGCTTAGTGCCAAGGCTTTACTTGCAGGGTTAGTCATAACCTTGGCCTCCCTGAGAAAGTTCTTCAACCACAAGTCTACTTATCTATGTAGCATTTCCACACAGACTTAATTCTCCATGAAGACCTCAAGAAAATGATTGAGAAGGCTGGATAGAGTTTTAACACTTAAGAAAATCATTCTTCTGATTTTTTTTTCACTTCTAGATCCACAGTCTGATTTCCTTTAGGGCACTACTAAATTCTTTTTGATTCTTCATGTAGGTTGATTTGCAGTAAATATGACATTGAGATGTAGGGTAAAAATTACTGAAATTTCAGGAGTAAAACAAATGAAAGAAAAGAGAAGGAATATTTTAATAAAACTATTTGAATAAAAATCTTTCACCCTAGAGTAACTTAAAGAAGCCAAACTTTCTAGTTATTAATTTTAAAATATTAAATTTTTAGAATAAATTTTTTTTTCTTTTTAAAGTCAATGTTTACACTGATCTTTTTATTTTTCAAACAGAAAGTGTATGTTACACTTTTGCTTGTTAATGTTTAACTTAAGCTTGTGGACTCTTTGTTAGAAATTATTTTATATGGCAAAAAATTTATCATCTAAACTTGGTTATACAAAGTTAATCTGAAAAACCGTCATCTAGGGCATTACTGGTTTGACAAGTTGTTTTTGTAGATTCCTTGCTGTCTGTCAAAGTTTTTGCCAATAGTGTTTAGAAATAAACAGAAAGTTTGACTCATTTTTATTACCTGGGCAAAGCTCGCTCCTTGGAATTTACCTTTAACTTATGTATCTGTTATATCAGTCAGTCTTCCGAATGTCAATATTGACACTAGCCTGTATAATTGTGATGCCATTTTTAAAATATGTGCTTTCAAATTATTTATTGCTCAGACTCAAAATATATATTATCAAATATATATTTTTTGCTCCGACTCAAAATATATATTATTTATTGCTCAGACTCAAAATATCTATTTGATATATATAGTTTTAGTGCCTACTAATTGTGAGATCAAGGGCTAATGTGAGTGCTAAAGCTCCTGAGCCTGTGTTCTTACCCAGTCTGCTGAATGACATGGACAGGAGCTGCAGAAGGACTGGTATATCAGCAGAAAGGCTAAGATGATTCTTAATGAAAAAGGCCTTCAGGCTATTGTGAAGGCTACCATTTAAAACAAATTAGAGGAAATAATGTCTGTTAGTGATTATGCACCGATGTGTAATAAACCAGAGTTGTAGCTGTTAGAGAGTTACAGGGTAGTGTTCACTCGTTATCCCTGCACCCTGGACGTAGGTCCCAGTTCTACCATTGACCAGTGGTGTGGTTCTTGGGAAAATTACTTAACATTCTACTCTCTTTCCTCATCTGTAAAATAGAGGAGATAATAATAATCTTAGTATAAAAATGTAAACTGGGTGGTGCTCAGTGCATAATAGGTGCTCTACAAATGTTCATCTTGATTATTATTGTGAAATTGAGAACCACTCTGACAATCTAGAAAGCACCTTCTGCATTCCTCACGTCTATAATGTGGAGGTGGAGATAAATGTAAATCCTAAGCTTTCTCATTTTGGGGAGAGATTTTGCTTCTAGCCAGATGTAAATCTTCTAAACTTTCAGGAATAATAATTAAATTCCCTCATCAAATAGCTAAATGTTCTGGTAAAATGTTCTTTAGGGAGAAATAAAGATCATACTAATAGTAAATGTGTAGATGTCCTAGCTTAAAAGTTATTCATGGCTGGGCACGGTGGCTCATGCCTGTAATCCCAGCACTTTGGGAGGCCGAGGCGGGCAGATCACCTGAGGTCAGGAGTTCGAGACCAGCCCGGCCACCATAGAGAAACCCTGTCTCTAATAAAAGTACAAAATTAGTCGGGCGTGGTGGCGCATGCCTGTAATCCTAGCTATTCGGGAGCCTGAGGCAGGAGAATCGCTTGAACCTGGGAGGCGGAGGTTGTAGTGAGCAGAGATCATGCCATTGCACTCTAGTCTGGGCAACGAGAGTGAAACTTTGTCTCAAAAAAAAAAAAAAAGTTATTCATTAAGCACCTTCTTATGACAATGCATTTTATAGAAAGAACCAACATTTTTGAGAAATGGCTGATGGAATTATTCCTTGGTTGAGTTTCTAGTGGACGCAAGGCAGTGTGTTGGGCTGAAGTGATAGAGGGAAGAGTGGGAAACACATGGCCTCTGACCTCAGCAAGTAGCGGGTCTACATACACTCGAGGTGCTGCTTCCGAGTTATAGAAATATTTTTGTATAATGTCAAAAGATAAAGATCTGCACAGATACCTCACCACGCATGAAAGAACCATGAGTTGCGTACTAGATGAAAACATGTGGTCACACCTTTGGTTACATACCAGCATCTGGCTAGGGGCAGAGCTACCTCTTTGTCACAGCACATTCCTTGGGAGGCTGTGGGTATAAGTTTGCCTCTTTGTCCCCTCCTATGTGATGGTTATACTCTAAGGGCATTTAGTTTGGGAGCTGATAGTTCAGTATGTGAAGTCCATCCCTGGAGAAGCATGATCCTCTGACCCACTTAAAATACATTCGACATAGAAGAAAGGCCTATGTTCAGGTTTTAGATGGTAAATGGCTGCAAAATTATGCAAAAACCAAACCAAAACAAAAACCAGGATCAAAAGAATCTTTCTAGCAAGAAAAAGAGTAATTCAATAAGGAGTTAGAGATTGTAATACCAAACAGATTATCACTGCAGGTAAAAATGGATCCCCATCTACTGACTGAATTAATTACTGACTTCTCAGTGCTGGTATTCACAGCCAGCCGCATCTCTCCGTGTACCTGGCAAGCCTTGTCTCTCGATGCTTAGGTCAAACCGGACCAGCTGGCCCCTGTGCCTTTGCTCATGCTGGTTCCTCTACCTGCAACACTTTCCCTGTTTGCACTCACTGCCACTTAGCAAAGTCGTATCTGTCCTCCCAGGCACTGGACATGCCCTGTCTTCCACCATGGAATATCTACTGCCACTGGCCGCAGCCGTCTGCTCCGTGGAGGCACTTGCTGTATACCCCTTCCCTGATGGTTGTTCGGATCCTCGATGCCCCGCTGGGACTGTGGGGAGGGATCTTTTTTGTACCCCAGTGCTGCAGACAGAATTGCACAGAGGATGACTTAAAGAGTGAAGTGGATTTGTTGAAGTGAAAACCTCTTTTCATCCCAAATACAACAGGCTCTTCTTGAAGTGTTGTGTGAAACAAAAACATAGCTGTAAAGATGGAAGATAAATAGACCCCATATCCTAAAAACACCATAAACAGAGGCATAAATTGGTGATAAGGTTTAAGATAAATGAAAAGGAGAAAGCCTTACTACTACTTCAGAATACATTCCAGTGAATTTTAACAGCTGACATCTCCAAGCTGTGTAAGATAGTCTTTCTTTGGTTCCCTCTATTTGCTATATGGATAAGAAAAAATTACTTGAAAGTTAAAAAATTTTTTTTTTCTTTTTTCAGGGCCAGTTCTGTGACTATTGCAATTCTGAGGACCCCAGGAAAGCACATCCTGTCACTAATGCCATTGATGGATCTGAACGTTGGTGGCAAAGCCCTCCCCTGTCCTCAGGCACACAGTACAACAGAGTCAATCTCACCTTGGATCTGGGGCAGGTGAGCTATACTTTCAATTGGAATGGGAACATGAGCTTAGATCACTGTTTCTATGGGGATTTCTGATATAATAATTATTGTAAAAACAAACTTCAGTTTTAATCCCCTAATCATTGTTAAACCTGTTAGATTAATATTTGCTTCCCTTAAAACCCAGAACAGGTCAGGCACAGTGGCTCACGCCTGTAATCCCAGCACTTTGGGAGGCCGAGGTGGGTGGATCACTTGAGGTCTGGAGTTTGAGACCAGGCTGACCAACATGGTGAAACCCCATCTCTACTAAAAATACCAAAATTAGTCAGGTATGGTGGCGGATGCCTGTAATCCCAGCAACTTGGGAGGCTGATGCAGGAGAATCGCTTGAACCTGGGAGGCGGAGGTTGCAGTGAGCCAAGATTGCACCATTGCACTCCAGCCTGGGCAACAGAGTGAGACTCCATCTCAAAACAAAAACAAAAACAAAACCCGGAACAGTGCCTGGGAGCATGCAGATAGATCCCCATCCCTGTCTATCAAATGAGTTTAAAAAATAGTTGTAAATAGTTTCATTGGCAAAGATATTTTTATTATTATTTTTACTTGTGGTAAAAGAGACACAACATAAAATTTGTCATCCTAACCATTTTTAAGTATATGGTTCAGTGGCATTATGTACATTGACATCATTGTGCAACCATCGCCGTCATCCATCTCCAGTACCCTTTTCATCTTGTAATACTGAAACTCTGTACCCATTAAACAGCAACTCCCCATTCCCCTTTTTCCTGCTGCTCGCAGCCAACATTCTGCTTCTCTTACTGTGAACTGACAACTCTAGGAAGCTCATATAAGTGGAATCATAAAGTATTTGTCTTTTTGTGACTGGCTTCTTTAACTTGGCATGATGTTTTTAAGGTCTTGAAAACATCAGGGTAAGTGAAAGAAGCTAGGTATAAAAGACTATCTTATATGAGTCCATTTATATGGAATGTCCTGATAGGCAACTCTATAGAGAGAAAAGTAGCTTAGTGGCTGCCTAGGGCTAGGGGTTTTGGAGGAAATTGGGGAGTGACTACTAATAGGTATGTTTTTGGAGAGAGGGTGATGAAAATGTTCTAAAATTGATTGTGATGATGGTTGGACAACTCTGAATATGCCAAAGACCATTGGCATGTACACTTTATATGGGTGAACTGTATGGTATGTGAATTGTATCTCAATAAAACTGTTAAGAAAAAAAAAGGATTCATGGAAAGAGAGTGTTTCAAGTAAAAAAAAAAAAAAAAAAAAAGGAGGGAGAAATTAACTGTGTCAAATACCGTTGATAAGCCAAATAACAAAAGACGGATAACTGACCAGTAAATGACCATTGGATTTGCCCGTGTGGAGATCATTGGTGACTTTGATAAGACAGAATTGAAAAGTTAACTGTAGGGAAATCAAGAGAGAATGTGAGAGGAATTGAAGCATCTAATACGGAAATCAATTTTAAGAGTTCTGCTCAATGGGGCAAAAAGACATGGGGGAGAATCATTGAAAAGCCAGGTAAAGAGAAGATTTATTTGTTTATGATGGAGACAGCAACATGCTTGTGTGCTTGTGTGCAGATCGTAACGTAAACAGGAGGAAGAAGACTACTGCTATTATTACCTGAGTTTGTCATGTCAATACCAATACTAAAACTCATGCTAATACTAATGTTAATGTGTATACTCTTCTTTTTGCTGGGAAGAGTTAAGCATAGAGTACAGTTCATATAAAAATACTACTTGAAAGAA